AACAGGATATAATTTTTTTCTGTTCACTTTCCCCTTCCTCATTCCTTTATTGTACATAAAGTATGTGCACAAGATTTGTTAAAATATATATATATACTAAATGGTATGTTTTGCTGAAGATATCAAATGAAGATATGATGGGAGAAAACACTGGTTAAATGAAAACATCCCCTTTCTCCATAAGTGTGGCATGCTCATTCAGCTCTTATCTTTATACTTGTCCCAGTGCATGAAAATTGTTCACAGGTAGGGTCCCTAGCAGCTGCCAGCTGCCGGCCAGGGCCTCCCTGCCCTGGCTGCCTGCAAGGGACTTCCTTCATTCCGCATCACCCCCTGGTGGTCAGTGCACATCATCGCTCCCGGTTGGTTGAAGTCCCAAAGGGGCACTTTGCATATTAGGCTTTTATATATATAGATTACAGTAAGTTATTTTGCTCTCACTGTTTGACAACAACAACCATAAAAATCCTTGCATACCTTTTTTGGAGAATTTTAATCTTTTTCATTATCATTGTGAAATCAAGGAGTTTTAATAATTTTTTGTATATATCTGTTACTTGTGGGACAATCTATCTTTAACTAGGGACAAATTACTCTAAAAGAAATGAGTCCTAGATAGTTTAATCTTCATGGCAAGTGTTTTGCTGTTTAAATAAACTTCTTGTTTTTTTTTTAAGTCTAAAACTGGCTATGTCACCTCTCAAGATCAGCCTGGTTAATATAAAAATGAAATTAAACCTTTCAAAGACACAGTTATTTTTCATTTAATTTTTCTGTATTTAATATCTCTATTTACTTATTTGACATATAAACGTGTGAGATTAATTTGTATTTATTTTTATTTAAAAAACAATTCTTTTTTGAAAACTGTATTATGTCCTAATTGAAACAGCTATAAAAAAATTAGGCTGAAAATTCCTCAAAGGAAAGTGTTAGACTAGAAGTTCTTTTGTGGTCCTTGTTCTGCTGCAATTAAGGTTTTGAACAAGTTGCAACGCCTCAGGACCACTGTTTTCTCCTGTGTTAAAAAAAAAAAAAAAAAAAAAAAAAAAAAAAAAAAAGGCCTAACCAGTGTGGCTCTGTGGTTGAGTGTCAACCTATCAACCAGATGGTCATGGTTGAATTCCCAGTCAGGTACATGCCCAGGTTGCAGCTCAATCCCAGGTCTGGGGGGTGTGCAGGAGATAGCTGATCAATGATTTTCTATCAATGATGTTTCTCTCTCTACCTCTCCCTTGCTCTTTGAAATCAATAAAAAATATATATATATATATATATTTTTTTTTTAAAGAAAGGAAAGAAGGAAGCAAGGGAGGGCTGAAGGGAGAAAAAAAGGAAAAGACACTGAGCTGAATGATCTCTCAAGTCCCTTTCCACTCAAAGTTTTCTTAATTCTGTTAAGACGACCTTGCCTTTAATAAATATAATACACAGAGGTCTGCCGAGCAAAATGATAACAATAGCTACCATTGTTGGGGACTCATTAAGTATGATGCACTATATGAAAAGCTTTACATAGTTATCTCTTTTAATAAATCCATTTACTAATGATTATTATTCTCCAATTTTATAGGTAAGAAAAAAACTTAAGTTCAAAAAACTCAGTCATATAAGTTTTCTGTTTGTTTTTCCAGTCACAATCCTCAATTATCAAAAGGAGAAACAGCTGAGTAAACAAAAAAATTATGAACCCGGAAAAGAAAAAATCAAAGTGAGACTTTTTAAAGCAGAACTTTTGAGCAAAAGTTCACTGTATTAGAGGCCCCTGCTACAAGCCACTGCCTGCAGGACAAATTAAACATGTTATCCCAACCTGCCCAATCACCAGATGCCATGTCTTCTCTTCAGAAAACAGGATTTCAGAACCAGGCAAAAGAAGCAAGCACAAACTAAGGTACGGTACTTTAAAAAAATATGTAATGCCATAAAACAAAAGAATAATTCAAAACTAATCTTTAGACAGGCATAACTGGTATTTGGGTTTAAGAGAATACTTTCTTATATGTTATCCTATATTTAATTTTTTAAAAACATTTTTTATTGATTTTTTACAGAGAGAAAGGGAGAGGGATAGAAAGTTAGAAATATCAATGAGAGAGAAACATCGATCAGCACCTCCCACTGGAGATGTGCCCGCAACCAAGGTACATGCCCTTGATCGGAATTGAACCTGGGACCTTTCAGTCCACAGGCTGACGCTCCATCCACTGAGCCAAACCAGTTTCAGCAGCCTATATTTAATATTAACATCAGGATAGTACACTAAAATCCTAACTAATAAATGCCTAGATGGTCCTCACGCCCTTGCATGACACCATCACATCATCACAAGATGGCCTCCCTCACATGGTCACAAGATGACTGCCACAACATGGCCAGCAGGGGAGGGCAGTTGGGAGCAAATAGGCCAGCAGAGGACAGTTGTGGGTGATCAGGCTAGCAGGGGAGAGCAGTTATCGGTGAACAAGCCAGCAGGGGAGGGCTGTTGAGGATCATCAGGCTGGCAGTGGAGGGCAGTTGGGGGCAATTGGGCTGGCAGGGGAGCAGTTAGGCATCAATCAGGTTGGCAGGGGAGCAGTTAGGGGCAATCAGGCAGGTAGGCAGGCAGGCAGGCAGGCAGGAAGGTGGTTAGGAGCCAGGAGTCCTGGATTGTGAGGGTGATGTCTGACTGCCAGTTTAGGGCCGATTGCCGGGACAACCCCTGAGGGGTCCCAGATTGGAGAGGGTGCAGGCTGGGCTGAGGGACTCCCCTGCTCCCCCCGTACAAATTTCGTGCACCGGGCCTCTAGTCTATATATATAAAAGGATAATATGCTAAGTGTCTGACTGCTCATTATGACGCACACTGACCACTAGCGGGCAGATGCTCAATGCAGGAGCTATGTGACACACATTGGCCATTTATAGAGAAATGGCACTGTGGACCAGGCACAGACAAAGCAACATTCAGCTTCCCCCAAGTGGGACACAGACCCCACCACCATCCTAGAGCAACACCACACCAAATCACAGCCAACACTACCAAGACTCCATGGTGCAAAATGTGGCCCCCAGCCCAGCCTAGAAACAGTGGCTGTGGGCGCCGGGTAAAGACATCACCTGGCTTCCTCTCCCTAGCGATTGGCCTTCTTGGAGTTTTTTCAGCCCAGGAACACGACTTGTTTTATAGCCAGGTGGAAACATTTCACACTTTAACCAAATGTCTGTGAAGCATTTTCCTGGGCCTCATCTCATTTGTTCCTCACAGAAGTCCTGGTGTAGATAGATAGGAAACTCAGTGGAATCTTATTTTCTTTTCATTAGCTGGAAAATGGAGATTTAGAAAGCTTAGAAACTTAACCCTATTGAAAAAAAAGAAATGATGGACCTTGAAAATGACTTCAGACTTTCTCACTGCACAGAATATAGTCAAATACTGCTGCAGTTAAATATTTTACCCTTGTTCTCCCTGCGTGATCTACAATAATCATCTGCTTTGTGGTGATATTTACTACTGTGTTGCTGACAATTACCTGAAAGAGAAGTTGGGGTGCTTCACTGGGCTGGACAAAGTTTAGCTACATCAGAAAGCAGGTCTAATTAAGCAAGTTTATATATATATATATATATATATATATATATATATATATATATATATGAGGCTAAGTTGACTCGCACATGTGCTATATATATAAACCTCTCGCTGGTGTGTATTTCGATCTGTCATTGTCAATCATGAATTTGGTTGGCACTTTTGTCATAGAGAAAGGGTGGGTAGCGATATTAAAATTCTTCTAGTTAATTTCCTTTCAATGTGCATGAATTCATGCACGGGGACACTAAATTTAATAAACAATGAACAAAAATCACATTTTAAATGTAAAGTGAGAATTGAACTCAATTTCTCTAAGGAAATTAGTGCAAAAATTAGACCTCAGAAATGGCATTTGAGACATTGAGTACAAAGATCACAACTTGATCTTTCTATTTAGAAGATGAATATCAAGGAATTATAACTGAGAAACCACACAGAAAGTTACAGTTTTGAGATAGTGCGAAAAGGAAGGATCTGTTACAGCATTATACATAAGCTGACTTAACTATACAAAGAAGGTGGCTCCACATCTTCCTTGGACAGCTCTCATATGTGTCTCCTGTGCTAAGAAACATCCCTCCAACTAGTGAAATATTATTTGATATCAAGTTAAATAGATACTCAGGGGAACGGTGATATCTGTCTCTTCAAACTTCTGTGACGTAAAATAACTCAAAGAGCGCACAGCAGTGTCTTGCATGTAGTCAGTGCCCAGACAATATGATGGCACCATGATCATCCTCATCAATCAGGCCACTGAAAAAGCACTAAAATGGCGGCCTAAAAAGTGAATCTACTTCCCAACAATTCCAGTATTTTTTTAAAATGCCAACTTCTAATTAAATCTGTGTTAGTTTTACGGACATAGGATATATATATATATGGCTGTAATATTCTGAATTTTTCAAGGTTATTTTAGTTTGAGGTGGCTGCATTCTTTTAGTTATACCCAAATTGAAGCTAAACTGACAGAAAGATTATATGAAAATCCTCCAAGTAGGAAAAATATTTTCTATAGTAATATGAGGTTCTATTTTTTTTTAATGGAAAAGGAATGATTAGGAAAGAATCCACTTCTGTATAACAAATATAAATTTTCCCATCTGCCTGATAGGTATAAAAATAGTATAAGAAACAGATACATCTAAATAGACTGAGCCAAAAGAGAAAGGTATTTCACAGAAATTATGTCATCATCAGAACAGTATGCTTTCCTAAATTTAAATTCTATTTATTATGTTATTTTTACAAGTAGCAAAGTCCCTGTTTTTCCCCCAGTTTAATATGCATGAATATAAAAAGCAACTGATTTCCACGTTGCCCACCCCACCCACCGACTGGGTTACTAGGAAGCGGTGGATCATGAACAGCTCCTGAAGGAGTGGTGGTTTTCTCCTTAACTTGGTCTTGAACTCCAGCACTCTACTCAGTCATCCTCTTGCTGATTTCTTTTCTGAAAGAAAAGAAGGAAACCAAGACTACATTAAAATAACACATTCTAACTGGCATATTTGTTCACCTAGAGTCACTTGTTCTGTCAGCAAGTTTTATTTTCTAGAGGCCTTGCCAAATTATCATGGAAAAACATGCCTGGACTTATTTACTCAAATAGTTTACCACTTTGGTTCCAGGGTATATTATCCTCAGGCCTTTGAATATTTTCTACTCTCTCTTATACAGGTATAAACCTTCCCATCCAGAAACACACACAAATATACATATTTACTTTCTTCCTTGAGTCACCACAGCACAGCTCTGATCTTCTCTTAGCCCTGTAACCTCTAGTAGACATACTTTAAAATTAAAAGTACTGTGGAAATTATGCAAAAAGCATGCACATCATAAAAACATTTTTGTCATTCTCATTATTAAATAAGTTATTCCTTCAGTTCATATTACATGATCACTTTAAGTTGACCTAATTCAGTACTTCTGTTTCTAAAGTAAAATAAAAGTTTAGGTAGAGCCTGTCCGATGTTGCTCAGTGGTTAGCGTCAACCTATGAACAGGAGGTCATGTTTTGATTCCCAGTCAGAGCACATGCTCAGGTTGTGGGCTCAATCCCCAGGTAGGGGCATGCAGGAGGCAGCTGATGATTCTCCCCCACCATTGATGTTTCTATCTCTCTCTCCCTCTCTCTTCCTCTATGAAATCAATAAATATATATACTTTTTAAAGTCTAAGTAGAATAAAACTAAGATGAAATATTAAAAAGCCAATCTGAAAACAAAGATGCTAAGTACACATAGACTTTACCAGCTTAAGGAAATCGATGAGTTTGTGAGCATCTTCTCCAGTAGAGAGGTCTACAAAGTCCTTGGGCATTCGATAACTTAGATAGGGACTTGGCTGGACTGTAGCTTCACTGTTTGTACAACGGAAAGCTGGAAAATCCTACAAAAAGAAGGGAAAAAAAAAGGGAGGGTGGAGGGGAGTCTGTGAAATTTTAAGTCTCTTCTCCAAACTGAAAAAGATTCTATCATAACAATTTCAACTTCATCTTCTTTTTTGTACTAGGCAAGAAATAAGATTCTCAAGTAAAAGAAGGCACCAATGGCTCAAAAACATCTTTAGATATTCAATATAACATAAACATGGGTATCTGCAAACAGTGTCCTGGAGGGCAAGGCCAATCCCTAAGAGCTACCTGCCTGCAGCCCGAGTGTGATACAAACTGGGTGTGTGTCTCTGTAGTTCCCAATGGGTCACAGGCTGCAGGCTACTTATTGCCTCGAGCAATCTCATACAAACCAGAATGCTTTATAAATATTATCACTTTCTTCAGGTGCAGTTAAGATGCATTGGCTTAATAGTAAGGGCAAGCAAATGCTTTGAATTCCTAACACCTTAATACTTATTTTATGTCATTTATCTTATTTATGTATCTTTCTCATTACCTACGCAAAACTGCAAGCAACACTGCAAATTCAAGTATCATCCTGAACAAGTCTTTACATTCTTTCATGTACAGTTGTCCTTAACAACAGGGAGGGTGGCAGCACTGACCACTTGAGCACTTGAAAATCTCCATGTAATTACAGTCGGCCTCAGCGTATGCAGATCCCAACCGCAGAGCTGACCCTCGAGCAATGTGGGTTTGAACTGCATGGGTCAACTGGAAAAATATCCAATGTAAGTGGACACATGCAGTTGAAACTCATATTGTTCAAGGATCAGCTGTACCTGCTTAGAGCCTGCATATGATATTTATATGCTGCCTTGTGTCAAATAGAGTTTCAGACCCAGAAGGCCTTGGGTTTGGACTCCATGGTGACAGATACCTCGCTGAGGGATGGATGAGTCTGGAAGATGGAGACAGGCCAGAAGCTTGAATGGAGCAAGACCTAGAAAGCAGGCCATAGTTTTGACAGACAGACCAATCATCTGACAGATATTTATGAAATACCTACTTTAGCCGAAACCGGTTTGGCTCAGTGATAGAGCGACGGTCTGCGGACTGAAAGGTCCCAGGTTCGATTCTGGTCAAGGGCATGTACCTTGGTTGCAGGCACTTCCCCAGTAGGGGGTGTGCAGGAGGCAGCTGGTTGATGTTTCTCTCTCATTGACGTTTTCTAGCTCTCTAACTCTCTCCCTTCCTCTCTGTAAAAAATCAATAAACATATACTTTAAAAAAAAAAAAAAAAGAAAAGAAATACCTACTTTGTACTGGACCTTTTTCTAGGTATGGAAGATAAACTGATAAACAAGACAGTTAGACAGCCAATCAGCAAGCAAACAAATAAACTAACAGGATTATTTCAGATAGTACAAAGTGTTACAAAAACAAAGACACAGACTGCTATCACAGAGAACCAGGTGGTCTGCCAGGGAAGACCTTGCTAAAGAGGGGATGTCTGGACTGAGAGATGGAAAGTATGACAGAAACAGCCCGGAGGTCTGGGAGCAGAGCACAGCTCTGAAGGCAGTGGAACAACCAGTGCAGAGAGGCAGGACTTGGAGCTTCAAGAAACAGAGGACAGGTAGGTTTCTGTGGAGTGAAAATAGGCAGGAAGTGACGCTGAGCAAAGGCAGGAGCCAGTTCCTGTTTCCCCAACTGCCAATATAATGCTGTTTAAATTAAGCAAAAAAGAAAGAAGGAAGGAAGAAAGGAGAGATAGAGAAAGAAAAAAGAAAGATCTGATCATATTATTTGGATCATAGATTCAATCTTGTACAAACTGTTTCTGTTCAATAACGGTGTCCTTCATATTTATAAATAACCCTGTGCTGAATAATTTACATTCTTCTCCTAGACATTCCACTTTAACAGCCCACAACTGCACGATGCCATCAGGGACAAAATTCCTTCTCTCACTAACTCAACACTCATTAGTTGTGCCTGGCATTGTGCTAAGCCCTCAGCTACGTGGAGAGCAAGAGACTCTATCCCTGGGGTCAGAGCTTGCAGTCTAAAGCAGGACACAGGCAAGGCAGCAGGCAGGCATCACGTAGTGGGCAAGCGCCTTGATAGGGGAAAAATCTAGTTGAGCCAGATCTAGAGAAACGGGCCCAAAGAAGGCCCAGGACAGAGTAATGATGAGAAAGATCATTTCAGAGATGGACAAAGGGAAAGATGGTCACTCTGAAGGCAAAGCAGCAGCCAGAAGAAACCCAGAAGGAAGATGTGCCAGGGAAGCTGGGGGAAGAGATGCTATAAGAACAAGAGGGAAACATGTCCAAAAGGTGGCGAGCGGTTGGGTGAGAGAAGAGCAGTGGGACGTTCACTCGAATTAGCAACAAAGCTGGGGAGCCCTTGCCAAGAGCAGTGGATGTGGGTGGCAGGGACTGAGGCTCACTGGGCTGGGGAGTGACAGGTGAGACGGGTGAGAAGCAGCAGGCAGCAAGGACAGATGACCACGTAAGGAAATGGCTGTGACTTTTGTAATTACTGTGTAGTTACAAAAAAGCAAGTTACATAGCAGCATGAGGGAAACTAGTATGATCCCACTATGTAAAAATGTATGGTGCATCCATAGAAAAAAATGTCTGGAGAATATATTAACTCAAGTGATAAAAATGACTATTTGGAGGTGTAGGATTTCCAGTCTTGCCTCTCTCTTTTTTTTAAATGACCATGCTAAACAACAAACCCCTGTTTTAATTTTAATTTTTTGTTAATCCTCACTGAGGATATTTTTTCCATTGATTTTCAGAGAGAGTGGAAGGGAGGGGGGGAGGACAGAGAGAGAGAGAAACATCGATGAGCGAGACACATCGTTTGCTTGCCTCCCACAAGCGCCCAAACCGGGGATTCGAACCTGGAACCCAGGTACATGCCCTAGACCAGGTATCGAACCCCAGATCCTTCAGTGTGTGGGCCAATGCTCTAACCACTGAGAACACCGGCCAGGGCAAAAACAACTGTTTTTAAAAAGATGTAAAATACCCAAATACTTACAAGATAATACTAAATGAAAAACTTGAGATACGTAAGTTCATATGTAGTGTAATCTCATTTATTTAAGCACGTTTTTTTGTATGTGGAAAAGGCATGTTAGTATTAAAATATAAGCAGTGGGTCTCAAGGCAGTAGCTTTATGGGTGATTTTAGAATTTTCTTTAAAAATGAGCAGGTAGTACTTTTATAGGAAGAACAAAGCTTTCCAAAGTTGTTGTTTCAAGAAAGTTTGGCTGTGATGCAAAGGAAAGGAGAGATAGCGAAGCTTAAAGATTTTAAGACAAGAGATCTGAACATGATTAACTGCTGAGAGCTGGGAGCTGGTAGACAGAAAGAGACAGGAGAAACAGGAAAGAAGATACATGACAGCACAAAGCATGTGGAGAGATGGGAGGCCGGTGGAGGTGAGACTTAGAACGGCTGCAGACAAGGTTGGAGGCTTACTGACAATGAAACTGAGTGCTCCCACCAATGAATTATCTTTTCTTTTGGAGAAGTATGTGAAATCTCTGCCGAGAAGAGAAGGAAGCCAGAGGTTCAGAGGAGCATGGAAAGGTGTGAAACTGCCACTGTGGCTGATGGAAGAGGAGCTGGGGGATGAGGGAAATAAGACAGTGTAATAAGCACCCACTTGAACTTGGAGTCAAGGATATAAGTGACAAGAAGAAAAATTATCAGAAAAAATATATATCAGATGACCGTTATTTCTTTAAATGAAGTTAAATGAATGAAGCACATGCACACCCTTTCTCGCTCACCTCTATAGGAAAGACTATTAGTAAATTTGTCATATTCTGTACTTCCCAAGGGTACAAGTCACTGCCTATCCAAGTGCCTAGAGAACTAGCAATTGTTAAGATTAAAATATTTCCTTTACGTTTTTACTTTTACTGTCTTACCTGCTCCAGAGCATCTCCTTCACTAAAATCGCCTTTTAAGTTTCGTTCAGATATCAGTTCTTCCCAAGTAAACAGCAGTGAATCTGTTACCTCACCAAATGGATTAAAATCGATCAGCCACACCTTCCCCTATAGGACAGAGAGAACAATTAAGAGGCATAGACTAAAATCAAGCATTTATGCTCTATAAGCTGTCCTCTAGGTCCCACCAGAGAAAGTCCTCCAGGTTTCATTGAAAAAGGGCCACAGCTTTATCTGAAGGGAAGGTCTCCTGTAAAAGAGAGACCTAGAAAATAAAAGCCTGACAAAGACAAATATTTCAAGTCCTGCTTAGATCACATGAGAATTTTAGGTCAAAAATCCAAACAGGAAAAAGGAAAATTTCACAAGAAGTTAAACCAAGCATGACCGAATACTTTCAGGGGGTATCTCTGATCATCTTTCAAGATTACCTTCGCCCTGCAGAGGAAGGAAAGAGCCAGAAGTTCCAGAGAACACCATTCCTTACCCCCGAGAGGCCACTGCTGCCAAGGATGCATTTTTTTTTTTTTTAAGCATATAGAAAGAAGAATGGAAATGCTCAACTTTTTTTAACTTTAATGTAATATTGGTTTGTCTATATGTTAGAGCACATGAAGGGGAGATCTAAAAAATACATCAACTTTTAAGAGAAATGTTTAGCTTTTCGTACTCTGAAAGTAGAGATGGGCAATATGACAGCTCCAGGCTCAGAAAGGATCCCCCTGAGCTGGTCAGACTGAGTTCAATTAGAGTCAGGAGCACCTTGCCATAAAGGGCAGGGCGCTGACATGACAGCACTGGGACCTGAAGTCCTGCCAAGAGACTGAAGCCAACAGATAACCACAGAGACACAGTGACATTTAGTAATACCCATTTCCTTCAAAATTTTATCTTTGCTCCTCTTGATTTTTCTCAAAACGTTCATATCATTGCATCGTTGTTGGTTTTTTGTTGTTGTTGATAATTAGGTTTTCATGTAAATGTGTAGTTATCATGTTTTCAATGTCTGCATGAGTGTAAAATTTCATATGCCTAACGAAGTAGGTTGTCAAGCCACTATTACCAATATCTAGCACTGTTTCTCATCTCAGTTAAAGAAAAAAAATTAAGAAATATCTAATTAGGAGTTGCTTCCAACAGCTGAAACATCTGGTAAGTGGCAAAGAACCATTGTCAGAAGTTGCACCACACACCATTGGGTTTCTTCGTTTATATAATCCCAGGAGAAAGCCTACAACTCCTTCAGGCTGCTTGAATTGCTTCCTCACAGCAGTTCGGCACCCTCTCGCACAGTCCGTGACTGTGAAATAACGTCAGCCATCAACTTCTTGGTATAAAGTCAGCTTTGCTTTTGGAGCATTTACTAAGATGTCTTTGGCATGCTATGTGTTATTTTAACAAAATGGGTATTTTCTAACTTTTAAACACTTTCTACTTGAGTTTTATAACCAGTAAAATCATCTCATTATAAAAAGAAAACACTAGTAGGCCGATTAATATAGGAATATTATGTTCTATAAAAATATGGCATACTGTAAAATAATTAAAACGTAAACAGATCACTACTTTTAGAACTAGTAATGGGCAGTTTGTTCTATAATTCAGAAGACATTCTCTAACTCAATGAAAAATAAAAGCACCTGTAATCAGGTATATAACTATCGAGATGAGGATCTTATAGCTAGAACATGGTTTCAGGTGATAGCTCAGACAGGAGACATCCTGAGAAATTCTATTTTTAGGCAGTCAGTGAGATAAGATCGGCCCTTCCTGAAATCTACCAGACCAGCCCCACAGCCCAAATAAATCTCTGTGCGCTAGAAAGACACTGTGCCAGGCACTGGGGCGTAAAGACTAATAACACAGAATCTACTCCTCCAGAGAGCTCAGTCCAGAACCAGGGGATAAACACACACACACACACACACACACACACACACACACACACACACACACACACGAGAAATAAAAACCATCCTTCAATCACAGTACACAGGGGGAATAACCCAGTAGAGATGAAAACAGGGTATTGTGAGACCAGTAGAATGTAAGGAGAGCCTACCTAATCTGCATGGTGAAGCTGGAAAGCTCCCCTTGGTAACCTGGAATTTGAAGATGATGATGTGGGAGGAGGGTGGATGGTGGGAGGAAAGCAGACCATTTCAGGGGGAACAACAACAAAAACTAACAGGTGTGAAGGCCATGAAAAGACAGTCCACTCTGGACACAGGTTATTTCCTAGAGTGTAAAATACATGGGGGTCCCAGAAAATGATGGAACTTCAAAAATCTCTAGTTCTAAATCAGATGAAATTATGGTTAAAATAATCCCTTTAATAAAATAAGATTACAAGAAAGAAAGAGGGTCCCAGGCACCAGAAATGAGGAGGAACCTAAAAAACAGAAGCAATCATACAAATATGTGCAGTGGGCGAGCCTCCTACCAGGAAGCTCAGGGCGGGGTTTAACATGCGCACAGGAACAGGAGACTAGCCACAAGAAGGGAATCAGAACCAAGAAGTAACTCTGGAGGGCTGCCACGTCAGTAAAGGGAGTTTAAGATAAAACTAATGATTGGAAAAGAACAAAGAAGCCTGCCTGCTTTTCTCTGACCGGGGTCTGGGAATGTGGAAGAAGCGAAGTATTTGAAACTGAGAATCTCTGAGATTCTCACAGATTAAAAACAAAACAAACAAACCTAAAAACAAGCTCACTGAAGATGAACCCATGGTAAAATAGACTAGTTTACAAAACCAAAAATAATCAAAATGAATGAGAATATGCAAATAGAGCAACCAAAGGTTAAAGCCCCAAGAACTGGGAAAATTATCATTAACCTAAAGGAGAATCTATACTAATAAAAGGGTAATATGCTAATTAGACCGGATAGACCGGACGTCTCGTGGACAAAGCCACTGTGGCTGTGAGGGCTGAGGAGGGTCGGCAGCCACAGCAGCCAGCAGTGGCAGCAGCAACAGGGTTATGAGGCTGTCTTCTTCCCCTGATCAGTCTGGCTACCTCCCACAGAGGGAGGCTACAGGTAGTAGCAGCAGCGGCAAGGTGATGGGGGCGGTGCCTTCCCATAATTGGTCTGATTGTTGCCCGTAGAGGGAGCAGACTGTGGCTTAGCCCACTCCCCATGCCCACCTCCCAGTGCATGAATTTCCATGCACCGGGTCTCTAATTTAAAATAAAGATATTAGTGTTAGGACAACAGGGTAAAAATCCAGAAAAAGACTAAGTTAGATCCATATCACACATCAGGGAAATGCAAAGTAGATCAAAGATTTAAATATACAAGCAATAAGTCATAAAAGCTAAAAAATAAATGGAGGTATTTTTAAAAATTATGACTCAAATTCAGAAGTCATAAAATAAATAACATTTTATCTTCATGGTAAAAGACTAATAAAATGGGATAATCCTATTCCTATATTTTAAAGGATAATAAAAAATGGAAAACACAGAAATGATCCCTACAAAAGATAAAATGCATCCTAATACATAATAAGAAAAAAAGAAAATGAAACTATACTGAAACACCACTTTTCATCTATCATACTTAGTGGGCAAGCTTTAAGGAAATATCCAGGTACATTTCTAGTGGAATTACTTGGTGTAGCTTCTACAAAAGATAATCAAAATTAAAATACATTTAGCCTGTTTAGCTAGCAATCCCATTTCTAGGAATTTATCCTGTAGATATACTTGCAGATGTATGAAGTAAAATATATATCGGATGTTCATCACAGCACAATCTGCAAAAGTCTAGAAAGAACTTATGTGTTTGTCTATAGTGAAGTAGCTAAACAAACTGGGACGGTGTATCCACAGCACAAAACACTGTGCCACAGCAGTAAATTGGAAAGCTCTCAAAGATACATTGTTTTTTTAAAATGTTTTAAAAGCAAGGTGCAGACTGTATATAATATGCTAACTCTATATAAGAAAAATGAAAAAATAAGTACATTACCTTTTGGGGGGCATCAAGAAATACTGGAAGGATATAAAAAAATGAATAAAAGTGAACTTGCAGGAGAGCAGAGGGTCAAGGGTATATTTTCACACTGATTTTTTAAGCAGTGTAAATGTATTATAAATTAAAAACTTAAAAATAACTCAGTAGTTTACAGAGCAGTGCTTTCCAAGGGTTAGAGTTCAGAGAGGTTCATCAGGAAATTTGGGGAGTGAAGCAGTTCTACATCATCATTATAATAGTAATTACACAACCAGCTGTGTTCTTCAAACTCATAGAACTATACACTAAAAAGGGTCAATGCCAACTCTATATAAATTATATCTCAAAAAGATCTAAAGAAAAAAAGATCAGCAGTTTTAAATTATTTAAAATATAATGGAAATCAAAACCCTAACACACAAGATACTGTCCTATACAATAAAAGGCTAATATGCAAGTCAATTGACCAGTGGAACCACCGGTCGCCATGACACACACTGACAACCATGGGACAGACACTCAATGCAGGAGCTGCCCCCTGGTGGTCAGTGCACTCCCACAGGGGGAGAGCCGCTCAGCCAGAAGCCAGACTCACAGCTGGTGAGCAAGAGGCGGTGGTGGGAGCCTCTTCCACATCCGCAGCAGCGCTAGGATGTCTGACTGCCGGCCTAGGACCCCTCCCCATAGAGAAGGGGCCTCAGACATCAGTCGGACATCTCCCAAGGACTCCCAAACTGTAAGAGGGTGCAGACTGGGCTGAGGCACCCCTCCCCCCCACCACTGTAAGAATTTCATGCACCAGGCCCCTAGTGAAAAGATAGATTTTAAAAGTAACCAAATAGAACTTATAGAAATGAAAAATATAGCAGATATAATTTAAAACCTAGTGAGTAGGTTAAATATATCAGATCAGACAAAGCTGAAAGTGAACTAGTAAACTGGTACAGCTGAGAAAACATAAAACATAGTACAGAGAGATAAAAAGGTAGAAAATGAGAAGTCAAGAGACATGAAAATAAAGTGAGAAGCTCTAACATACCTAACTATTAACAAAGTTTCAAAGGCCAAAAGATAGAAGAGGCAATACTTGATTAAGACAGCTCAACATTCTCCACAATTAACAAAGGAAGTGAATTCTTAGATCTAGAAAG